CGATGTATTTTGAGCTGCTGAGTCTGAAAATGACCTTCATTTTTTCTTACCCCCTCTCTTTTCCGAAAAAGCAACTTTTTCCTGGGAAAATGAGCAAATTTGACGTATTTTTATCGTGCTTGCAATTCAGTTTGATAAATTATTCTGGACCTGCGGTAGAGTGATTCTTATGTATTTTAAGCTGCTAAATCCAAGTATGACTTTGGTTTTTTTTTTTTTTTTTTTTTTTTTTTTTTTTTTTTTTTTTTTTTTTTTAATCACCCTCCAGTTCTCCGATAATGCCGATTTTTCCGAGTCTTTTGGGAAGAACCTTTCCCAGACTCAAAAAGGTGTGAAAAATACATTTTAAAAATGTTCTCGATGTGTGTTACATCGATTCTTTTGTATTTTGACTTGATAAATCCAAATATTACCTTAGATTTTTCCTATCACGCCTCATTTTCCCGGAAAAGTAGATTTTCCTCGGCAAACGAGCTTCTTTGGTATTTTTGCGACAATTTCCCTGTTCTATGGAGTTTTAGAAATTTTCCGCGATCCTCTTTAGGTCTGTTCCGATGTCCTAAGAGCCATTGAACCCGAGTTAGACCTCAACTTGCCTCTGACTACCCTCCGTTTTCCTTAGTATAAGGAAAGTCGTCGCAAAAATACCAAAGAAGCTCGTTGGCAGAGAAAAATCGACTTTTCCGGGAAAATGAGGGGTGATAGGAAAAATCCAGGGTCATATTCGGATTTATCAAGTCAAACTACACAAGAATCTCTGTAATACACTTTGAGAATATTTTCAAAATGTATTTTTAACATGCATTTATTTTGAGTCCGGGAAAGGTTCTTCCCAAAAGGCTCGGAAAAATCGGCATTATCGGAGAACTGGGAGGGTGATAAAAAAAAACCGAGGTCGTATTCGGATTTACCAGCTTAAAATACATAAGAATCACTTTACCGCGGAAATGCAAGCATGACAGAAATTTTCTCATTTTCCCGGGCAAAAGTAGCTTCTTCGGAAAAGTGAGAGGTGATAAGAAAAAACGAAGGTCATTTTTAGACTCAGCAGCCCAAAATATATCGGAATAGTTTTATTTTGTTCCTGAAAATTTTTTTACCAATTTATCCAATAGAATACTATCGGATGAGAAGGAAATTCATGTTGCATGTCCAATTCATGTGTTCAATTATGTTACATAAAAAAAATTTCATGTTACCACAACTCATGTACTCTTGAATAACTTTCATTTGCATGACATTTTGCATGATTCCACTCAAGTTTTCCTTGATTTCCCCTATAAATGTTGTGCTCATGCCAGTATGTAGTGAGCCAATGCAATTAAGGACCCTTCGCCAAAAAAAACCCTTGCATCCTCCAAAACTATTCATTAAAATAGGTATCGAGGGCTCTCCATAGGCTTCATTTGGCATTTTTCCATTTCCATATGCAACTGATTCCCGCAATAAGTTCCGGAAATTCAACCACTGTTTGTTTTTTCTCTGATTTTTTCGCAAGATATTTTTCCTGAATCATCTTCTTCCTCTTCTTCTTGTTCTTGTTCTTCTTCTTCCACCTCCTCCTCCTCGTAACTTTTATGTGTTTTCGTTCATGTTATAGGACGATTCTGAGTGTCAGCATGAAGAATGGGAAAACGTTGGAATAGATCACGATCAGGTGAGCAGGAAATTCATGTTGCATGTTCCTTTCTTGTGTTCAAGTATGTTATATCAAAAAAAATTTATGTTTCTCTCACGTACGTTCTCTTGGGGAACTTCCATCTACACAAATTTTCTTTTTACACATGATTCCACTCAAGTTTTCCGTGTTTGCCTATAATTGTCATGCTAATGTATACGTAGCCCGTAACCTTAGCACAAGGGTCCCTCGTACTAAAGGTATGACCGAGTTTGAAAGGGTCACACAGGTCAAAGGGTTTTTTTTTTTTTTTTAGATAAAACGGAATGGTTCCAGGAGATTTGAATTTTTCCGCCCTCTGAAAGCAGTGAACAGACCAATGAAATGAAAGAATATTAGTTGAGTGTTTTTTTTTCCTTTCTTTTTTTTCTGTTGAACTGTCAAGTAAATCGAGTGACGAAATCGTTATCAGTTCCGGCTTATTATCGTGGGAAAATAGTGTTGTCAATAAGGCCTAGATAAAAAAATATTTTCTATTGAGTCGAAGGTAAAAGAGTCGATTTTTACTTACTTTACCTCATCAAGAAACTTCCTAAATTGTCTGAAAAATCCCTAGATCTCTACAAATTCCGGAAAATGACTAGATCCAGGGATTAATTTCTACACATTAGGTCACAGAGACCCCGCACTATGGTATGAGAGGGCCAAATCGTGGCCAAAAATCCGATTTTTGAAAGTGCGAAAATCTGGCAACCTAGCATGCAGCCCTTATCTACATCCCTTGGCAAATGTGAAATGACCTATCGAGTTTTTTTAAAGTGTTTCTAAGATCGGATATATGGTGGTCAACTTCACATACTCTGAGGTAAATGAAGAAATGTGAGAATTCGAGGTGAACGTCATCGCATATTACCATGTGCTGATATGTTAAAAGTCGGCATGGATCCTAGATCAAATATGGAACAGAAAGCTCAAAGGGAGTACTTTTTATGGTTTAATCGTTTTTAGTATTAAGATTAATTTTATGACCACCGCGGGACTTCAAAGTTTTGTCCTAATTTAGGCAAAAAATGGCCTTCACCTTAACTTTTAGTTATCACTAACAGGAGCTAACACGCTCTTATCGTTGCAGGAATGTAGCTCATATGTTCCTCTAACAGGATATCACAGGATTTTTGCGTATTTTTGCGTCTGGGGCCTTTTTTGGTCCTCTCAGTGCAGCGGTTTTGTGATTTTCTGAGTAATCCGATTTCGCTGTGAAACAAGATAGGAGAGATGAGGCAAGTTCAAAGTTGGACATAGGGCGAATCTTATGTAATTTTGGCTGCTGAATCCAAAATTGATGCCCATTTTCTTCCAGAAGTTGCCAGTTTTCTGGAAAATTGGATTTTTTGGCGAGAAAACACATTTTCAAGCGAAATTATATTTTCTCTAGAGAAATTATGACAACTAGATAAAACGAAGGTCATTTTTTCATTCTTGAGCTTTTACATGTTTACACATTTACCAACTCGCCTTCCTGTGGTGTAATGGTTGTAGTGGTAGCCCTATGATTAGGAGATCCCGAGCTTGACTCCCGCCGAGGGAACTCGCGCTTGATGATCGCAAGCCATATTACTGGGAGATTGCGTGGGAGGGACTGATGGGGAAAGGAATTCAAGCACGGATATTAGATCTCAGTAGCAATTGTAGTTCCGTTTTTTTGTATTTATTTTATAAAATAGTTCAAGTTTATTATTCCACCTAAAATCTTTATAATAACATTTGTAACCATAAAAATCAGCGTAAAATGGTTGAACTGCTTCCAAGAAATACAGGGTGTTTCAGACCACCCGTACCAGGCCTTTTTCTCGGTTGTTTTAGGTCGTACGAAGTCGGGGACCGCGGGGTTGAATAGGGAATTGACCCCAAGGAATCCAAATTTCGTAGTCCCGAAACCTCCCCCCCCCACCTCCCCTCGGGGGGTAAAGGGGGGGTCACGATGCCAAAAGTCACGGTTCCCGACCGAATTGCGGATTAATCGCATCAGAATTGAATAGCACGAAAAATTTCACGTGAAATTGACCCCTAAAAATCCATAATCGGCCCATCCAAGGCCTATAAATGACCCCCTAAAGAGGGGGACAGTACCCCCTCCATAATTTCTCTATGGTCTCAAAATTGACATAGATTCTCCAGAAAAAGATGTTTTCCCAGGTAATCGACCCCGAGAAATCCAAATTTCATGGTCCCGAATCCCCTCTAGCCCCCCTTGGGGGGGGGGGTTAAACGGGGGGCCCAATTTTAAAAATCGGGGCTCCTTTCCGAATCTCAAATTGATTGCATCCAAATTGAAGAGCAGAACACTTTTACATCTTTAGTGACCCCCAAGAGTTTTAATTGACCCCCCTGAACGGCAAAAAGTAACCCCTGAGGAGGGGGTTTCGCCCCCTCCAAAAGTTTCTCAAGATTCCTCTTCGGTTACAAAATTGACGTCGATTCTCCAGAAAAAGACGGTTTTCCAGGTAATCGACCCTGAGGACTCTGAATCTCATGGTCCCTAAGCTCCGCTACCCACCCTTTTGGGCAGAAACCGTCTTTTTCTGGAGAATCGACGTCAATTATGCGACCAAAGAGGAATCTTGAGAAACTTTTGGAGGGGGCGAAGCCCCCCTCCTCAGGGGTTACTTTTTGCCGTTCAGGGGGGTCAATTAAAACTCTTGGGGGTCACTAAAGATGTGAAAGTGTTCTGCTCCATAATTTGGATGCAATCAATTTGAGATTCGGAAAGGAGCCCCGATTTTTAAAATTGGGCCCCTCGTTTAACCCCCCCCCCCCAAGGGGGGCTAGAGGAGATTCGGGATCATGAAATTTGGATTTCTCGGGGTCGATTACCTGGGAAACCATCTTTTTCTGGAGAATCTATGTCAATTTTGAGACCATAGAGAAATTATGGAGGGGGTACTGTCCCCCTCTTTAGGGGGTCATTTATAGGCCTTGGATGGGCCGATTATGGATTTTTAGGGGTCAATTTCACGTGAAATTTTTCGTGCTTTTCAATTCTGATGCGATTAATCCGCAATTCGGCTGAGGGCAGGGGTTTACTTGAGGCACTTTTTGGTATCCAGTAGTACTTTAATTTTAAAGCACCTCTGCTTGTGCTTGTGGTTTTTTCTGTTGGCAGTAGTTACTTTGAAAGAGAGTCATTCACAATATCTTAGTAGTATTTTATTTTAATCCTTAAAGACACATTTCTAATACTTCATAAAAATTGAGTAAATCTCTGAGGAAAATTTGAGCCGTGGAATACTTTAAGGAAATTGAATGTCCTCTTTCGATGAATGATTTCCAACGTATGCACATACCTGCTTTCAGCAACTCAATCTGTGTTTCTGTTTTACAGCAACCTGTTTGAAGTTTATCTTAAACCATATTTCTTGGAGGCTTACCGTCTAATTTACAAGGATGATTCATTCATTTTCCGTGGTGGTATGCGAGCTGTAGAATTCAAGGTTGTCGAAACAGACCCATCACCCTACTGTCTTGTTGCCCCGGACACTGTGATCCACTTTGAGGGTGATGCTGTCAAGCGTGAGGTATGTTAAGTTTGTAAAATTTGATCAGATTTTTTTATGTATGCTCCTATTTATGGATGGTTAACAACGCTGATTTAGCAATCAATTTTTCAAAAATCTCAAACTTAGAACTCCTGTAAAAATCTTTGGAACTTGCTCATTAACAATTGACATTTTCAAACTCAGATTATTATTTTTTCTTCTTTTTTTTCTTTTGGTATGTGTGTGTGTGTGGGTACTATACAAATTCTCTGTGAGGATAAAAATGAAGACAGAAAGCCTCAATTGTTATAAAAAAGCTTTCATTTTCTTTCTTACAACCTTCTCAATAATCAATTTAAGAAAATCATAATCTTTGTAGAGTTTTGGAAGGTTCCAATCCAGTAAAAATTAGATCATTGAAGGAGTCAAAAATCTTCAAAAAAAATAATGATGAATGGAGATGTTGCATGTGTGAGGGATTTGCGATTTGACCATTGATTCTTATGTAAAAGTTCGCGAAAAACACAATGGTGACACTGGTTTTCTCTGAAATAATCTCCCAAGCTCAAAAAAAGCTCTCAAAGTGAGGCCAAAATGGAGGGGATATCCCACCCTACCCTGAGAGTCCACCTCTACATCAAAACAAACTCTCCATGCAAAGATAGGGAGCAAATACATTAGCAGGGTTGCCACTTTATTTGGGGACTCCAAGACTGAAAACACGACAACCTTGCTAATGTATTTGCTCCCTATCTTTACATGGAGAGTTTGTTTTGATGTAGAGGTGGACTGTCAGGGTAGGGTGGGATATCCCCTCCATTTTGGCCTCACTTGGAGAGCTTTTTTTGAGCTTGGGAGATGATTTCAGAGAAAACCAGTGGCACCATCAAGTTTTTCGCAAACTCTTACATAAGAATCAATGGTCAAATCGCAAATCCCTCACACATGCAACATCTCCATTGTTCCTACTGCTGTGCTGAGTGATGATGAATTACGCCGTTAGTCATTGTGAAATGTTTTAAATGAATCATCTTTTCTTCTCTTATTTTAATTATACAAATCCTTCTGCAGGAGGAGGAAGAAGCGTCCAGTGCTGTAAGTTACGATGACATTGGAGGCTGCAGGAAGCAACTAGCTCAAATTAAGGAAATGGTTGAGTTGCCATTGCGTCATCCTTCTCTATTCAAAGCTATAGGAGTGAAGCCACCGCGTGGTATTTTGTTGTTTGGCCCACCAGGTACCGGAAAAACACTCATCGCCCGTGCTGTTGCTAATGAAACCGGTGCATTCTTTTTCCTCATCAATGGTAAGCATTTCTATTTTTCTTCTATTCCGAATTGTCTTTTTCCTTGCTCCATCACGTATAATACTTTAGTTTCAAAATTTAGTTACATTTTAAAGAGATCAATTTTATTTGTAAAATTTAGTAAGAAATATCAACGTTTGATAGCACCTTTTTAATCTGTTGGAAAATTTTTTTATTCCCATTAATCTAATGAAATTTTTTCCAGTTCCTTTTAGTATGTGTCATATACTCCCTGAATTTTGTGTAAATATTGTGGTGCCTACAGAATTAAAATCTGTAAATGTGAAACAGAAATGTGCAAAGCCTAAAAGTGGAGGATATTTGTCGCATGGAAGAGAGCAATAGTTTTCAGTATCTCAATCATCATTTGATTCTCAATTTGTCCTGTAAAATTCTACTGCGTCTAAGTGGATTGTCTGTGGACTACAGATTGAATTTGTAATCGGCAAGAAACTGCAGCTTTGACAATTTTCTTATTTTTTTTAGCTGGTGAATCTGAGAGCAATTTGCGTAAAGCTTTTGAAGAGGCAGACAAACATGCTCCAGCTATCATCTTTATCGATGAATTAGACGCTATTGCGCCAAAAAGAGAAAAGGTAAGTTCACATCTTCAAGTACTATTATTTATAAGTATTTAGGAGAGTAAATCTTCTTCTTCTTCTTCTTCTTCTTCTGATGGTTTATTGGCTTATATTCCAAGAGAGAAACCTACAGCCATAGAGTAAATCCAATTTTCACTTGTTGTCTTTCATATGATTCAATTAAGCATCAAAGATACCATACCATCCCAGGAGTTTAATTTTGTATTCAAATTGTCAGTTTGTAAACAAAAGAAAATAATGTCTGCTATAATAATGGTCAGCTGGTGCTGAATTTTGTAATTACAGAATTGAAAGAGAATAAACTATGATAAATGAAAAAACCAGACTTGCACAGTAAAAATACAACATTTTTCCTGAACATTTGATGTTTGGCTATTTCGGCACTGCATCATTACTTAATTTAGTTCTCTTTTTAATCAATTTTTTTTTCGTTTTACAAGACTCATGGTGAAGTTGAGAGGAGGATCGTCTCGCAGCTTCTGACACTCATGGATGGCTTAAAGCAAAATTCTCACATCATTGTTATGGCAGCCACAAATCGTCCTAACTCCATCGATGCTGCGTTGCGTAGATTCGGCAGATTCGACCGTGAAATCGATATTGGTATTCCAGACGCAACTGGCCGTCTAGAAATCCTGCGTATTCACACCAAAAATATGAAATTGGCCGATGACGTTGACCCAGAACAGGTAATTTTCTTCTTTTTTTGTTTGTTTCTTTTTCTTGCCTTTGGGACTGAGATGAATATCCACTAACACAGTATTTTTCCCAACTTAGCAAGCGAGACTTCACTGGGGCGAATCCCACAAAAACCTCCTGTAAAAACAGGAAGGCCTAAGATAGATTTAAACTAAAAATCACTTTTTCTCTGAATGTCTTTTTTAAACCAGGAATTTCCAACAATCAACCCTTTGCTGTGGTGTAATTTTTGGATATTTATCATGCTCAATTGTTTGTGTAGCACTGTCCTAAGCAGTGCTGCCAGCTACTTGATTATGCATTTTGTCCTTTAGATTCAATGAGATCCTTTTTCCTATTGATGGTCACTAACTTGTCGATTGTGTATTGCTAGAAGTCAGTAAAGATCCCGAAAAAGTAGAAAAAAGAAATTCTTAAAATGAAGAATTATTATTTGTCTAAATATTACTGATTAAAATGCTCATTGATCCATTACTTATTCTCATTGGTAATAATGGTTTTAATTGTTTATTTTAGATCGCAGTGGAAATTGATGGTCATGTGGGTGCTGATTTGGCGTCCCTCTGCTCAGAGACAGCTCTTCAACAGATCAGAGAGAAAATGGATCTTATTGACTTGGAAGACAATCAAATCGACGCTGAAGTCTTGAACTCTTTGGCTGTTACCATAGAAAACTTAAGGTATGCGATGAGCAAGAGCTCGCCGAGCGCTCTGTGTGAGACTGTCGTTGAAGTCTCCAACGTCACTTGGGAAGACATCGGAGGTCCGGATAATGTCAAGCGGGAACTCCAAGAGTTGGTGCAGGTAATTTCTTTTGTTCTGCAGTCAGCGTGTTTCTCAAGTTTATAACATGCTACTTACGAGTACAATTACATCCTACTTTGGGGGGTTTTAAGGTCTCAAAAAAATCAGTTCAAGTACATTTGACCTCTACTGATATTTCGATGTTAAATTCACTTCTCATAAATTTAAGCTCTAGCATTTGCTCTGTCTCCAAAAAGTCTTTCATTGTATCGCACTCTGGACCAAGGAAATGTAGCAATTATTATTTCTTCTTCTTCCACCTTCTGACTGGGGCCATGACCCTGTTTGTCTAGCCTCTAAATTAGTATATAAATATGACAAATATAATATGATGGCGATGAGAGGGGATTAATGGCAGCTCTGTGCCCATCTCTTGGCCGGTCGTCCAGGTTGCCTTTGGCTATGAGGTCGTCCTACCATACAAATCTTGGCAAGCTTTTCCCCGTCCATCCTCTCAACATGTTCCGACCACATTTTCCGGCGCATCTTGGTCCACTTGGCAATATCTTGGATTTGGTACTCTTCGCGAATTGACTCGTTGGTCTGCCTGTCTCGGAGCATAAAGCCTGCTATTTTCCTCAGGACTTTCATTTCTACGGTCCAAAACTGTTGTTTAGTGCGCTTCGTGTCTGCCCGGATTTCCGCAGCGTAAGTCAGCACAGATCTTACAATCGTTTTATAAACTCTAACTTTGCTCTCTTTAGTCATGTACTTATTCCTCCAGACCATTTCATTTAGGCATCCGGCTATTCTAGTTGCCTTGATTGTCTGACTTCGCACCTCGGTCCCTAAATCCTTCACACTCGTTATTAAAGCGCCCAAGTACTTAAACTGCATTACTTGTTCAACAGCGGTACCGTCCACTACTAGCTTACATCGTATTGGATTCTTGCTGATGACCATTCTTTTTGTTTGTTTAGCCGACACTTTCATGTTGAATGTCTTCGCAGTTAGGTTGAAGGAATGGAGCATCTTTTGCAGATCATCCTCAGAGCTTGCTACTAAAACAGCATCGTCTGCATAACAGATTATATTGATATTCGAATTGTCTAGCCAATAGCCTCTCTTGAATCTAACTGCATCAATTAGCTTATCCATTAACAAATTGAATAGAAAAGAGCTGAGCGAGTCCCCTTGTCTTACTCCTCTATTTACAATGACTACATCAGAGGTTCCCTCCCTGGTGACTATCCGTGTCTTGGTGTTCGAGTTCAAGTCGGCAACTATCTCGATAAGACAACTGGGGACATTCCGCTCATTAAGTATCCGCAAAACATCTGTTCTCCGTACGCGGTCGAATGCCCTCTCCAAATCCACAAAACATAAAAATAAAGGCTTATTGAACTCGATAGATTTCTCTGCCAATTGTCGTACCATGAATATGGCATCGTTGCACAGTGGGAAAAACAGCCGATCTAGCGCCGAAAAAGTCGGAAAATCGGCATCACTGAAAATGGCCAAAATTGGTATGTATGTGTTCCTGAGGATCTACTGATCAAGAATCAGTCATTTTTTAATTCATAAGGGCGACCTTATCAGCGATAATCATCAGAAACGCACCGGGTAGCGCGCTGCTGATGGAAGACCGCCTCTGAATGCTTACATTCAATGGCCTTCTGTATCTATTAAAGAGCGTCATGTAGTTACTTTTAATTTTTTTTTGCAATGGCTGACCTTTCTAAACATATGGATATCATTTTTTTTTCTTAAATCCAATTTTTTAACTTACAGCAAATTTTTTAAGTTAGCCTCCATAATAGTGCCAAATTCAAACTTCCAGACTGTATCTTTCGAGATCCACTCGGAACCACCGAGATATTTATGTCCAGTTACTCGTCATAATATCAAGAATACGATAATCCTTAGTTTGGTTGCGCATCCTTGTGCCATTAGAAGATATTTGATGAAAAGAAAGTGGAAATGTGCTGAGAATGAATGTTTACCTTTGGGTTTTGGCGTCAGATTACAGAGCCGCTTGGGGAGCTCAGGCAACCCGTGTTTAAGAGCAACGGTTTCAGATCCAACGTTTACTTGAAGTGGTAGCCTAGTTGGTAGAGTTACTCACCATTATGACGAAGGCTGTTAAATCAATCCTGACCGACGTCGCGATATTTTAAATTACTTCCCTGCAACTTTTAATGTTTTACTTCACATTGCTGCCCTTTAAAAATGGTTTCATTTCACACTAAGTCTTGAGAAGAAAAACATTAGATGCATTGAGCAAAAGGAATTAATTGCTAAAATTTCCAAGTAATGACAATACTTCATTTTACCTTTCTGAAAATAAAGTGTATTTGTAAAACGATAATATGGATTTATACTATTAAATTTCCTGTTTGACAACACTTCATGATAAATTAAATGTTCGGAACTTAACTATTATCCTAACAAGAATTAGAAAATAAATTAGGACACATGATTATCTATTAATTAGTAGGTAAGAGCTGTTCCATTGTGCAACGTTTTATTAGGAAATTTAAAATCCCAAGCGTGTTTTTCCTTCTCATTTGCTCTTAATATTGAATACGTGCTAATTAAAATGTCAATCTCATCAATTAACATCTTTAGTAATACGTTACGGATTACATTCATTCTCACTCCTAACTTCACCTTGAAACACCCACACACAACCACACAAACTTTTCCAAAAAAAAGTGAAAAATTCAAGACTTAAGTACATAGTATAATGAAGAAAGTAACCGACAATAGCATAAACGACGAGAAATATTTTATTTTAACTCTGCTGGCGGATCAAAGACCACAAACCGAAACACAGTCTCAAGGGAAGTAAATTACAGCTGATCTCTTGACTAAATTTGGCGCAATAACTCTTGAATTCACAAAAAGTCGGCGCATAATGTTGTTATTAGTGAATGGCTAATTATATAAGACCGATTAAGTGTGAAAAACCAATGGGAAAGTGAACGACCCGAGCGTCAAGACTTTTTCCGCGCTAGATCGGCTGCTTTTCCCACTGTGCGTTGGTGCCTCTGTTTTTTCTAAACCCTTGCTGTTCCTCGGCCATATGCTCAATCTGCTCCAAAATATCTTTGAGAACAGATGTAAATAGCTTGGAGCACGTGTTTAGGAGCGTAATACCGCGATAATTTTCAGGTACAAATTTGTCACCTTTTTTGAAGAAGGGAATTGTGAAACTATCCTTCCAGTCTTCCGGCATTTTCTTTTCTTCCAAAATTTTTTGGAACAGACGATGCATCCACACAGCTAGGACTTTTCCACCATATTTAACGAATTCATTTCCGATGCCATCTGGCCTCTCCAATTGGTCCAGGTAATTTTCTGTTGTAACGGGTGATCAAAAAACGTGTTATTAATCCTCAATTCATTTATGGAGCAAAACTCAATGAGTTCCTCGCAGCTATCATTCAAGGTGGGCTCATTGAATCTATTTTTGATCCCAGGTACAACATTATTCCCAACACCAGCATTCCAGTCACCCATCATGACTAACTTTTCCCGAGCTGGTATTGTGTCAATGACTTTTTGTAAAGACTCATAAAACGCATCTCGCTCTGGCTTTCCTCTACTCATATCCGGCGCATAAATTGATATCAGATTTAATTTATCTTGGCCTAAGCAGATGATAACTTTTAGGATCCTTTCGCTTATATAATCGATATCAATGATATTATCAATGATCATTAATATCGTTTACATCGCAATTAATATCGTTTTTCCAATTTGCACGTGATTGTAAGTTTAATGCTGGGCTTTAGTTTTACTCATGAATGTTTCTGATTTTCAGTATGCTGTTGAACATCCTGACAAGTTCTACGGTATGCAGCCGTCTCGGAATGTGTTGTTCTATGGACCACCAGGTTGTGGTAAGACATTGTTGGCCAAAGCCATAGCCAACGAATGTCAGGCTAACTTCATCTCAGTCAAAGGACCGGAGTCACTCACCATGTGGTTTGGTGAATCAGAGGCTAACGTCAGAGATATTTTTGATAAGGTAAGATTTGGATACTTCAATATCTACCCTTCTCCTTTTTCAATTGGATGCAAAAATTTACAATGGAAACCTAGGTGAATTTGAAAAAATAAAAGAAAGTACCACTCGTCTATTGAATTGACTGGATCATCATAGGATTATAGTTCGCAATCTGGTCTGGAACAAAATACTCCAAGGCTTTATCAACAAAGGATGGTAAAACGACATTTCTTAGCCTGAGACAGATAGAGGGGTTTACCCCCAAATTTTCACGCAGATAAACTCATTGAGATCCGCATTTTTGGGATTCAGCCATGGATAAAATACTGCACATTCTTGCACTTTTCAAAACTTCCAGTTTAGATGGACAGCTCATGTTAAAACTGGCCCGACCAGAATAAATAATACAGCTCTCATAAATTTTATTTAAAAGTGAGAATCAGTAAGTCCGCCCAAATTATTTAAAAATGCTCAAAAATATAAAAATAGAGCATCTTCTGACTCTGCTTTTTCTCAAATTTGGACAAAAAACCTCTCCAAAGTGTAAATATAAATCAGTTTACGTAATAATATTTTAACTTGAAACTAAATGCTGCATGATTTTATTTTACAGGCACGTGCAGCTGCTCCCTGCGTATTATTCTTTGATGAGTTAGATTCTATTGCCAAATCAAGAGGTGGTAATGTAGGAGATGCAGGTGGTGCGGCCGATCGTGTCATCAATCAGATTCTAACTGAAATGGATGGTATGGGCGCTAAGAAGAATGTCTTCATCATTGGAGCTACGAATAGGCCCGGTATGCATTGCTAGTTTTATTTTCAATATTATTTGATAAAAAGCAAATGACTCCCAAAAAGTGAGGGACCCCAAAAACAGGAATTCTAGCCAACCCTGTTTTTGACCACCTTAATTTTCTGCTCTTAAGAGTCAACTTCTCTCCCTGTCGTAATCATGAAAACCAATCAGACAAAGAGAGCCAAATATTTCAATTGGTGTAGGAAAGAATTGATTTGCCTTTCTCACTCTAATGATGTCTAACAGTGGCTCACTGATGGAGAAGTTAAAGTATATTTACTACTTATTTTTGCTAACTATTTTTATTTCCTTCTACAGACATTATTGACCCTGCAATCCTCAGACCGGCACGTTTAGATCAGCTAATTTATATTCCACTGCCTGATGAGAAATCGCGTGAAGCTATTTTCAAGAGCAACTTAAGAAAGTCACCTGTTACTGGTGTAAGTTATGTTTTACTGTCAAGTTACCTTTTTTTTTTTTTTTGCTTCTTTCAATCAAAAGTGTCCTTTACGGAAAAATATAAATATGTATTCAGATTTTTTTCATGAGCCTGTTGCAAACTTTAGCTGGAACCAAAATGAGAGTTGTGTTTGATGAGAACTGGCTAGAAAATTATGATGAACTCTCTGGCGAGGTCGAAAATTCACTTCTTGCCCTTCAGTTCATGCTAGAAATTTGCACTCTTAAAATAATATTAAAGAACGTCACGAACTACTTTCATTCAACATGTTAATTTTTTTAGACTCCAAGTTTTGTTCTTGTCAAAATTAAAAACCATTCCACTCGAAATTGTCAACCTTTTGTTGATGTTAGAAAAAATTCTTGTTTTAAACTTGTTGTTAATGTTTTCAGGATGTGGATCTAATGTACATAGCCAAAGTTACCCATGGTTTTTCGGGTGCTGATCTGACTGAGGTGTGTCAATGGGCTTGCAAATTTGCCATCAGGTAGTGCATTGAAGCAGAAATCAAGAGGGAACGGGAACGTGTGACCAATCAACAACAAGGAGTAATGGAGGTATGTACCTCATTTACAATATTTCATGTGATCAGATACCTACTCTTTAATCGGACATTTCAAGGATCGTAGAATCTTTTAGTTTCTATCACTGAAATATATTTTTATTTACAGTTTTCAAAAGCACTCATGTAAATTTTTGTCATGTATAATCAAGAATTCCCCCCTTAGGAGCGTTATTTGTGTCTGACACTGAATTTGTCATCGTACTAACGTAATCTGCAGAAAAATTTCAGGCTGCAAGTCGCCAAAGTTTTATTTTTCAACTGTTTCAGCTTTTTTATCTTTGGCCTGGAATGAGATCTCTAATATTCTGTAGCGATGCAACTTTCTTTCTGTCTGGTATGATTACTATATTTTTTTTTTTTATTTTCAGATGGACGAAGATGACCCAGTTCCAGAAATCACTAGAGCCCATTTTGAAGAGGCGATGAAATTCATTGGGCGGTCGGTGACGGATAATGATATCAGAAAGTACGAGATGTTTGCACAGACTCTACAACAGAGTAGAGGATTTGAAAATAACTTCAAGTATGTTAATTACTTATGTTCCATCAGCATCAACAAAAGGGTATGAAAAATCATTTTTCATTAAATTTTCCAGGATCTGAAGGATTCCGAAAAACCGTGGATAACTTTAGCTATGTTCGTTCGATCTACATCCTGAAAACATTAACAAGTTTAAAACAATAATTTTTTCTAACATCAACAAAAGGTTGACAATTTTTTAGTATTCATTGAAGAAACTATTGAGAAACTTGATAATGATGAAAAATCTAGAATAATACTCAACGTTTTAAAGATGAAATGGAGGCTTTCCAAGTTTATTTATGCTTCTCCAAACAGGAGTTGCCAATTGCCCTGCTGAAAGAATAATGAACTGTTTTGATTCGAAAATTTCTGAACGTCTTGTGAAAATCAGGAAAAATTTTCTACAGAATTTTCAGGGTCATCCAAATCCATATCACTATTTTTCCGTTAGTAAGGATGCGTCTACTTCAAATTCTTCGAATTTTGACCTGCTTCAATAGACATTGAGGCAAGTGCTTAAATTGGTCCTAAATTATTTTATTGCTTGCTTAAAAAGTAGTCCTGAATTATTTTTTTTTTTTTTAAAAAAATGTAAAATTCAACAAATGTTAAAAACAAACAGTTGTATGAAAAATAATTTTGTAAGAGACTTAACTTAAAGTAAGAGAGCTGCAGAAAATTCAAGCTGTCATGTCAATAAATCAGCAATGAATTCTTTGTTAATTTTATTTTTTAACAAGATTTCGATTTCTCTTTACGTTCTGTGTATTGATGTACAGTTCTTAAATCAGATTAAATTGTTTTTAGAAGTTATATATCTGAGTAATATGTTTGAACTGTTATCATTATTCCTCACTCTTTTTTCCTTTTGTCCTTGGAATTATGTTAATATTGTAATAAATATATTTTTCAATTTGTAAAAATTTTCTGAGCTTTATCCTCCTGAAGCCTGTTCCTGAGCATGCAGACGTTGACAGTTTGCCCCGATGCACACACCAAAAGAAGTCTAACCAACTACCTTGAAATAGGTGTTATTTACCTAAAATTTTAATATTTATTTCACCACTCACAATTTATAATCTCTCTCCTCATTCATCCTTTTAAAAATAGTCACTAAAATTTTCCTTTATAATGTACAATAAAAAAAATAAATAGAAAAATCATTGGAGGGTTTGAAAAGGTGAATACAGGCATGCTATCTCTGCAAGCTATTATAGCTTGAATATATGATTAATCATGAAAAATATTCAGATTATTTTCAGAGAATTAGATTCAGACTATGAGATGGATGTCTCTGTAATAACTATCAAATTTTTAGGCCCTTAGCACTTATCATCTGGAAATATCGGCAAAATTACGACAAATTTTCTTCTATCATAGACAATATTGATCAATGAAAACCTCTGACGTAGCTTTGTCTTTGTTTTCAAAAGAGCTTTAAAATTTGAACCTAAACTCCTGACCAACTATGCACATTGCACAAATCAAATTCGTCGAAATAAGTCAAAGCAAATAAATTTCATTATTCAAAACCGGTTTCACATGGATCTAAAACTGCGTAGATTCACCTTAACAACTGATAGTGATCTGATGCTTAGATGTTTGCGATCTGTCAAAATGCTCACTTTGAATTCCGTTTTATTAAACAAGTAGATGGTGTCATTCTTTGTTTTCCCAAGAGTGATTCCTACATTTATTGTCAGATCTTACTATTTCCTGGCTTTCTACAAAATTCGACTGTCAATTTAGCTTTTTAATAGGTGAAATGATCTTCTGAATGTATGAAAACATCGGAAATCAATCCATGATAGAGAATGGCATCAATTGTTTACTTAGAAATTTAAAAATAAAAATACGACAATTGAAAACTTTGGAGGGAGATGAGAGGAGGCTGCTCCCAGCCCCTCCCCCTCCCCCCCCTCATGTACGCACCGTCATCGCTTCTTTGGTCGCACGGGAGAGGTGGGTGGCATCTGTGAGGAGTTCGTACTTCTTAAATGCTCCTACAGAGTGCGTACTCCTGCAAAGTTCAAACGCATCGACTGCCATAACTTTTGAACAAAGCGACGGATCAACTTGATCTTGGGCTCAAATAAAAGCTCTTGCCGAGACTTTTCATTTTATGCATAGTATATCGTCTGTTTTTGGTAATTTTTCAATGTGGAAAAAACCATTGTTTGATTTTTCAAGCCCAAAAAATTCAGTTTTTCGGGTTTTTCTATGAAAGGGAACGCAAGAATCATTACCAAAACCAATTTAAATGAAAGCCCTTGATTCAAGCTTTAAAACAAGCTATTGTTGAACTTGGGGAAACAAATGGTTCAAAAATTATGACCGTTCTAAGTTGGCTCGGCGCGCTATTTTTGAAGCGCGCGGAGTGTACACATACATGTGCCAGGGTAACACTCAGTAACCTTGATTCACTCCCCTTTACCCTTGGAAATATTCAGCCCCTTGGGAGTTAGTTCATCCTTCAATATCAGTAAGTATCTAACGTTCACTCACATAACCCTTGAGGAAACCACCATAGAGAAAAAAAAGGAGGTGTTTGCATTTCGGGCATCTTGGAATTTTTTGATGATTTGATGACGTAGGTTGGTACAGCGACGTCCCCTTCATGCTAAATGTCGCCGTACCGACCTACGTCATCAAATCATCAAAAAACTCCAAGATGCCCGAAATGCAAACACCTCCTTTTTTTTCTCTATGGGAAACCACAAAAAATCTGAGAAACTAACGGTTGCCCTAATGTACCTACTTTTGTTGGAAAATTGTAAATTCAAGTTACCTAACTGGTGCAATGTGACAACGCGATAGCTATTCAATCCCTCCCCCTCCCCTGTCACCCTTTTCCTGTGAGCCTTTCCAATAGGTACAGATGCATTTGACTACCTTAGGTAGCTCCGCTAATTTCAACTACCTATTTCCAGACTGATCACTAGTCAGTGGGTGCTATTAAAATTTCCGCTGAATGTGTATGTGCTTTAGCAGATGTTGTTTACTTTCCATTCATTCAGGATTTTCAAATAGCTAATAGTACCTACTTAATATTTTATGGCCACACCTGTTTCCATTCAAAAACGAGCTGATATAAACTACCAAAAACCCTCAAAAACACTTTCGGGCAAAAAATCCGCGGTCGAGGAAATTGACGGCTTACATCTTATTAACCAAAAACATTCCCTTTCACCCCTCCAAGAAGGTTGATAAAACTAAGTAACTATGAGATAGGCAAAAACCTCTCTTAAATTCTCAGGGTCCACCAAGGCCACATATGTCCAAAAACTAACTCTATATGGTTAAAAAAAAGAAACAAAAAATAATCACTTAACAATAAGAAAATTAAAAAAAAAACAAACCAAAAACCGATTTTGTAGTTCACAGGTATGTACGTAAATCCCTTGAATGAACTTGAAATCACAAAATCGGTCGATAATATCTAAATGAATTCTCCCCTTCAATTATGAGTTCCGCAACAAGCACGACTCGCTTGAAGCTTTATACACGAGCCGCAAGAAACTGATTTCTTCTCTCTTACTTACTGATTGTGAGGAGAGCGGGAGCATTTACTTTTTCCTTCATTTATACAGGATGCAACAAGCATGACTCTTGCGTTTGCAGAAACCCTTTCATTAAGGAGATCGTGAGAGCCTATACCGCGTTCATTTCCCAAAGGGATTACTCCAGAATTTCACGCATTTTAATAATTTAAACGATTCATCTGTTCTTCTCCTCTCTCCTTCCGTCCATTGACAGAGATACAAAATTTTTCGGACTCACTGACGCGACCGGCTCGATGCGTAAACAAGTGTGGATTACCTCTAAGATAAAAAAAAAAAAAAATAATCCGAGAACAACACCTACATCACAGCATGGGTGTGAGTTTTCGTATGTCGAAACTTAATTCAACTTTTTTAAATAACCCCTCGTGTCAGAGAGGAGGAGGGACAGCAGATCAACCATCCATGTGTGACATCTCCTTCATATGAGAAAAGGCCTCTTCTTTTCATCAATCAAATTTTTCAGAGGCATGCCCGCATGCCATTAATATTGCAAGGAGGGAGGGGAGTCCCCTCTGACCCTCCTGGTACCGTGTATATAAATGACCGGACCATAATAGAAAATATTTTTCTTTTATACTCGATGGTAGTTGTATAGGTATCTACTGCAAAAGTAAATGCGGAAGGAGTCGATCAGCATCCTTGTCATCCGTCAATTTGTATTTTGGCGCTCAAAATTTAAAAAAAAGAAACATTAGACTAATCCGGCAACATCGCTGAAATCTTAAAATGTAAACATAACCATACTTCATTCGACCGCGCTNGAGGGATTGTTGGCCTTTTCAAAAAGTTTCATCGATATCTGTGGTTTAGTTTCTTTTACAATGGACTCTTAATGGAGCTGGACGTAAACGGATGCGCAGCGCTGCAGCGGTCGTTGTTTGTACTATGGTCGCGGGCCCAGAGACTTGCCCGGACGCGGGCATGCCCTGGCATGTTGTTCATGCGCCGGTCTGATAGAGGTCTGATAGATTCAGCGCGGTCTTCATTCGTGATGTGATGTTCGCGCAATTTCCATTCTTTTCTCGTGAATGTTATCACCATTTATTTGTATTTGCTCGGACTTTCAACTATCCATTATCTATGATTATTCGTTTCTTTAAAATCCTACCGTCATGACATTAAGGACTAACAGATCAGCTCATGATTTATGAGTTTTCGCATTTTTCCATTATCCCAGTGCTGTACTACTCATGAATCCGATCAGTTTTGTGCCAAAGTTATAGCTTCAAGTTACCAATTACGTCTCCTAGTTTTTATCATCCTAAATTTTCAGGGGCTTGTGTCAGAGCCTCTTCTTTGTCAACAATGTTTTTTCTAATGGCGATTCTCAACATCCAATCTTTCTTCTGTAGACTTATCGTTGCGGTTCTCAATTACTTTTGAAGTGAGCATGAAGCAATGCTCCTCCGCCAGCTCTGCTGCTTGTTCCTGTAATATCTTTTGAAATTCAAACGTTATTCAAATTGTCCCTGAACAGTTGGCTGTGACGTCACTATGTCTGTTTTTAAGGGCGAGCTCCATGAACCGGAATTGAAGTACATCTGTGTGGATTATTTTTGTAAACCAAAGAGCCGTGACGCTTCTACATTTTTTTTATCGCACTGTCATGCAGGTAATATTATGCTCATTTTCCATAGTACTTTTCACTCTTCGACCATCTGAGTGAAATACACATGTTTCAAAGAAATACTTCTTAAAGTAATGTGTCATGAAGAGTACCTCTGCCAACTTCCTATAAGTTAACTTGCCTTGGCCTCTAGTTGTGGTTGAATTGGCTCTTTGGCGAACCGTACAAGTAAATGTAGTATGCTTTGTCATGAATCATTTGAGATTTTATGTGCACAGTTGCATATGAGAGTCATCCAAAAAGTGAGGTTCCCTACCTTGTATTTTTTAAACGACAAGAGATAAATGAAGTCAGTAGGAAAGGTCTTGTTAGGCATACTCTAAGCTCTAAAACAAGCTCAAGTTCTTGAAAATTGGTCAAGGAGTTTGTGAAAAAACTCAACTCTACTGTGACAACCTCCTGTTGCCGCGTGCCTACCTCCGGAGTATAAAGATGCGCAGAGAGTCAGTTGTTTCAGACTCGAGTTATCGCCGCTAAGCATCATATCAAAAAAGAATTTCAAAGTTTTTATTGAGTAGACCTTACCTTACTTTTTGACATAGTCTCCACCTCTGATTTGAAATTTCTGGTATCAATGTTGAAGCTTCTTGATGCCTTCCGCGTAGAGGCTCTTGTCTTGACACCGAAACCAGTCATTAACAGCGCTCTGCCGTTTCGAATCATTCGGAAACTGCTCTCCACCGAGGAAGTTTTTCAGCTCAGTGAACAGACGAAAGTCACATGAGGCGTAATCAAGAGAGTATGGAGGATGGAGAGGAATTTTTTTATGCAAAGCAGCTGATAGGGAAGTGCAGAGTGGTGTCAATGACTAGTTTCGGTGCCAAGGCAAGAGCCTGCATGCCATCAAGAACTGCATTACTGATACCAGAAATGTCAAATCAGAGGTGGAGACTACGTCAAAAAGTAAGGCAAGGTCTACTCAATAAAAACTTTGAAATTCCTTTTTGATATGATGCTTAGTGGCGATAACAACAGTCTGTTTGAGTTTGAAACAATCGACTATCCTTGTACTCCAGAGGTGGGCATGTGGCGACAGGAGGTTGTCACAGTAAAATTGAGTTTCTCCACAAACTCCTCAACCAATTTTCATAAACTTGAGCTTGTTTTAAAGCTTAGAGTATGCCTAATAAAACCTTTTCTACCAATTTGATTTATCTCTTTTCGTTTGGAAGATACGAGGTAGGGAACCTCACTTTTTGGATGACTCTTGTATATTAGGTAGATAATCCTCGCAAATTTTGACATCTTTTGCACTAGAGTCTTAAGAATCATTTGCAATGAAATAAGTTTAAAATTTGAAGACATAACAAATATGATTTGACGGTGATGAAAGTATGGAATTTGATATAAAAATTACCTGATGTATCACATCACATGTTGCTTTTATCATTAAATCCTGCTTTTGTCTCTTTGATTTCCAATGATTTTCAAGATTCATGACTGAGGCTATCTTAATTTTTTTGGTCTAAGAAAACGTAGCAAATGCAATAGCCAACAAGGTACCTTTACTATAATAGAGGAGTCTTCCTCCGAAAAAATTTATCAACTGTCTGAATGTTTACTGAGACTCAGACTCAGTATTTTACTGCATTTTCCGAAGAAAGTAACGTTTCTTTTAAAACGCTTTCATTAAACACATGCTTGAATGAAATCATCAGTAAAGCCATATCACTGTCCTTCCACGACAAAATACAAAATAAATAATAATATTTATAATATGATAACATGATTTTGCACTGAAGCTCACAACTTCTTCAAATTTCAATGTTTTCTTATTCCAGATCACATGAAAGGACTTTATTCCTCAAGATACTGGAATGACCAGTATATCAATGATTTGTTCAAAAAGTCGCCAGAAGCAACTTTGTACTGTTCTCCAATCACAGCTCTTTTTGTGCGAAACAATCCAAAAATTAGAATTCCTGAGGATCGAGTTCAGGCACTGGAAATCGGGAAACATGAGTCAATTTGCGTTTGGCCCAACCAAGAGGATGCAGGTAGTGTTGAGCCTTATCATGTGGATGTAACTTTGCTTCCCGCTGGTCACTGTCCAGGTTCTGTCATGTATGTATCAATTGATCGCGTTACTCAAATTTTTTTTTTTTCAAATTGAAAGGAGGGAGGTAGTCCTAAGCTCGAAGTCCTAATAATAGCTCATTTAAAAATTAATTAGAAAAATAATAAAATGGACCACTAGACAAGGTACGAATTTCAGCATTCTGATACATACTTCTTAACCAAAATTTAACGCAGAACACGATGCGCACAACGAATTTGACCAAAATCAATTCCTTACGAAGATATTTAATCACTTTTGATGCGTGAATTCAAACCACCCGCTCATGAAAATTCAATGCTCTACATGATTCACATCGCGCGCTAAACGTTTATCATGACGGTCTCTGCGATATAAAAATCTGGCAACCTCAATCTTGACGCTTTGGCTCAGTTATAGCAAATTGCTTATAGTTTGAACAACACATGGTGGGAAATGAACAGTGCTCGATTGAGAAGATTGCTGAAACCGTTGTAGTGCGTGATTTGACTCACGTAGAGCTTTGAGTTTCTTGTGAGCAGGCAGTTCAAATTCCTCGTAACTAATGTGAAATAAAAACGTTAATAGCTTTGTTAGGAGTCAGTTTCAGTCATTTTCGTCACGCGAATCGTGTTTTGCGTGAAATTCTGGTTAAGAAACATGTATCAGAATTCTTTAATTCGTACTGTGTCTAGTGGTCCATTGCAGAAACTCTACAAGATGAAATACGCAGATCAGTGAGACTAACATCTGACACTAAATGCATGAAACATTGAATTACGTACTAAAGTGAATAATCTCAGAAAAATATCAATGGTCATATGTGTGCCCTTTGTGATGTAGACAGCTCAGTTTGAATAGGACTAGGTACATTTTGCAACAAGGAACTACTCTCTCTGGTCCATTTTCGAAATAACATATGTGCCATCAGAATCACTATGCAGGTAGTTTCTTTTATGGATGATTCATATAAAATCATGAGGCAACATTCATTTTAATTTGTTTCAGGTTCTTATTTGAGCTCCCCCATCTAAGAGTCCTTTTCACTGGCGATTTTCGTGCAGATGCAAAGCAAATATCAGCACTGAAAGCTCTGCATTTCTCAGATAATCTACGCAAAGATCTAGATGTTGTATACTTGGATAATACCTTTTACTCACCTATTTACGAAGCTTTCCCTTCACGCAAAGAGTCTTTGGATGCCTTAAAAGAACTTATCAAAGATTGGATTGAGTTCAGGAAAGATAGGCTTATTAAACTAACGACCTCAGGTTTGTATATTTTAGTTTAGTAGAGTAGAAGTGTGAAATTTCCAAAGGATGACTTATTTTCATACCTGCATACTGCTCTTAATTTTCAATTCTTCAAGCAAAAGAGACCTTATTTCAGAGTAATTAAACATTGTCAGCATTTTGGTAGTTTAACTCAGCAGTTTGCAAGGTTGCAAGTTTCTTATGATATTCAATTAACAAATGAAGTTCCTTTATTTTCGCTCTGATTTTTTACTGTACCTATGAAGTAATTTTTGAAAAATCCCAAGATTTAAAGTTGATACGTTTGCCTTCAATAAAATAATATAGGAGTGAAAAATCTTAAACATCAGAATCAAGATGCAAGGTCTCCAATTCTAGCCATCAATATGTTTTAGCAGAAGTAGCTTTTAGACATACTCATTAATCAGAGCTCATGGATGAAAGAGAGGAAAAGTAAAATTAATTCCATGCGCCTGCCGACACTGCCTCCAAATGAGGCCATGTGTTATTGAAAGTCTAATTTACGTCCATGAATAAATCTGACTGGATCTGTGAGAAGAAACCCTATCTTCAGGGAAAACAATTGATATAACTTTTTACAAATATATGGAGGAAGAAAATCTGGAAATTTTTGGCGCATTTGACCCTGAAAGTCAAAAATTTAAGCTGATATGAGTCCTGAAATTCCAAGACAAAATTTTCAGGTCGCAGAAAACGTTATAGAAACTTTTGAAAAAGGTAAGGAGAATTTTCTCATGGAAGACAAGGTTCCCTCTCATAGATCTGGTCACAAATTTTCAAAGGAAAAATACTACCTCATCTCGTACTTACAATAAACTGTTTGTTATTTTCTTTTGTGTTCCAGCAAGATTTGGTTCAGAATTCCTCTTCGAAAGCCTGAGCAAACATTTTGGGAAAATACACGTTGAAAAGGATGAGTATTACAATTTTTATCAACACATTCCTCAACTGAAGGAGACAGTGACTCCTCACGAAAAAGAATCTGGACCTATCCATTCCTGCTTTAGTTACTCTACTGTAAGTAATTTTTTGCTCAGAGCATGGTTTCTGAAGGATATGTTTGATAAGAGGACCCACCAGCTTCTTGCCCTCCATACTGCTTAGAGGCTGATCAAAGTACACGTTTTGTTCTTCTCCATTGTTTTTTTTTTTTTTTTTTACATTTTTTTATATTTGCACAAAATATTACCTAGTACAAAAACTTTAGATATATACAATATCTTTGAAAGCTATACTTAGCTGTTAATAAAATATTAAGTTAGATTAAACACATTTTAACTGTACAGCAAACTACCTCTAGCAAGTGAGGAGGAAAATAAAACAAGATTATTTCAAAATAAAAAAAATCTTTTTTCTGTAACTTGGAAAAGCGGACAATTGTTACCAGTCAAAGTCCTAGACACTCTGAGTGTGTCCTAAGAGCACAAGGAGGCACTCAGCCTAAGCAAAGGATTTGCTCTCCATTGTTTATCCTTTTTATCCCATGCCTTCCTCAGGAACACAAGCCTAAATGCCTCCCTGTCCATTCTGTAACATTGATCAATGAATCAAAACAATCTTGTCTTTCACCTATTTCACGACAAAAGTGCATCCTAATAATATTTTTTGCCCAATAAAATTATGTAATGGTTTTGTGGATTAAGCCCCTTTTCACATCTAGATTGTTACTTAGACCATGCTAAGTAGAAAGGAACCAAGCCACATCAGCTATTGCCAAAAATGGAGCAATTAAATTTTTTAAATGAAAATGGTTGTGCAGATTTTTTGTGCAAATACCAGTGAATTTTCTGCTCAGCAGGAAGCAAATTCTTGGTCACAAAATTGTGTTTTGATGCTTGATTCTCGTAGATTAGCTAAAAATAATAAGATTTGTCCCAACAGCAACTTTCTACGTTCAATATCAACCAAGATATTGCCCTTTGAAAAGTCGGGTTTTTGACGGCATCCACTGTAGTAGTACATACCATGTTATGCACAACTGCGGTGGATGACGTCAAAAACCGGACTTTTCAAAGGGCGATATCTCAGTTAATATTGAATGTAGAAATTTGCTTTTTGGACAGATCTTATTTGTTTTAGCTAATCTACAAGGATAAAGCATCAAAACACGATTCTGTTGCCAGCGCAACTGTATGCGTATGTAACACCATTATGTACATATATTACTATTACATGCTATTTTATTACTGCATTACGGTATTGTAAATGGTTGGAAAAACAATTAAAAACCACTAAAGGTGGTCGCTACATATCTTGGATTCAAACTGGCATAAATGACCAATTTTTGCTTCAAAAAGCTGGTCTTTATCTTCATTTATCTATTTTAATGTTTCCTTTCAAATGAGACCAAAATCAGCTTGATAAGTTGCTAGGTCAATAAATTAGAAGCACCAGTCCGGATCTTTTGGGGACACTGTATGTAATTTCTGGCCATAATAGTAGTCAATATTCAAGTTATCAGAAAGAATCTGGCTTCAATTGATAATGTGCCCAAAAAATTACCTCCACTGTTTTGCTGGCACAACATAAAATTAAACTAATTTAGTCCATGTCCAATTCTTTTCTTTCAGAGCTCATGTTGTGATGTAGTTAAAAGAGGCTCTGCCAATGTAAGGGCAATTAAACCTTGTGCATTGTCCTTTAGAGCTGAACTACTCGCCAAACAGGTTAGTGCTACACGGCTTGTACCTAAAATAAAATAACTTTGACTATGGTAAATTCAGTTGAACCTTAGCTGTCTGACACTTTGTGACAGAGACCTATATATACTGGATAATGAAAATGCTGGATGGTTGAAGATCCACATATAACTTCAGAAATAATGAAAACAAAGTGTAGAAACTGACTTTACAATAAAAAAAATTTATCAGAATGAGCACCATTATAGGCAGTATTGCCATCAGAATTCAACAGTCTAACTTTGGAGGTAGACCATTGCAAGAGACTACTGTGGTTTGCCACTGCAAAAAATATAAAATACGGAAAAAGAATCCTATGATTTTAACGAACTTCACTGTAGGTAAAAACTTACTTCAAAATTTCCGAGACCGGCAATATTTTTCCATCTGCATTTTTAATATTTTTTAGAGGCAAATCGTTGTTTTTCCAAAGTTACATTGTTGAATTTTTTCTTCAAGATCATTAAAATTTTCCTTTCCTATGATAATATGATAAGGATCTCATTCAACCTCCCTTAATCACTGAGTAAACCATATTGATGGGCAAACAGCGAAGCTATGTATCTCCGTTTGCAACCTCGCAAACTTTCTGTCATGCTTTATTTTTTCATCCCAAAAACTAGTCGACTTAATGTTTCGAAAACTTCCCCATTTTTCCCTCTTTGTCAGCAGTAAATTTTGTACAAATTTCAAGCCAGTTGATGACTTGTTTTTCTCTAGAAGCATGGATCTTGAACTACTGTAATGGAGATACGTGATTTTGCATTTTGGCCATCGCTATGAGGCCACCTAAGGAAATGACCTGCCTCAGGAATGACGATGAATATGCCCCTTAGTGTTTCATAAGCTCAGGAATGATACAGCTGAGATAAGAAAGCAATATCATCGCATTTATGGCCTAGAAAAAATAACTGAATTATCTCTCTCAAATCCTCCCCCCCCTTTAAATTTTATTAAAAGACTGGTATGTTAATCCAGATATTTATTACCCATCTACCATAGATCGTATTCGATACATCAAACGGCTGAGATTGTATCGATATCGATTGGTTCAAAATATAAACATAGCCTCAAAAGTAAATTCAGAAATCTGAGAGAACGGGTCTTTTGTAACAGATTTTTTATTCTTTTGCGTACCTAATGCCAATTTAAAGTGAAATTGTTAGGAATTTTCTCATTTTCGGCTTTTCCAACTTAAATCCTTACAGTTTGGTTTGAGGTTATGTGCTATTGTTTTGAACCAAACGATACATCGAACCGTTATCGAATACGGTCTATTGAGCAGTGTTACGAAAATGATGTAGTATTTTTATACCCTTGTTACTTCTTTTAAATTGCACACAGGTCATGCTGTTTCTGAAGTGACAGTATTTTCTATATCATATAAGAATTGAGGCACTGGATGCGAAAAGGGCACGTCTTGGTTGCAGTGTTTTAGAGTCTCTTCTAATACTTCATTCATTGTAAGGAAAGTGAATGCATCCATTCACTAAAAATTTGTACTGAATATTCCTTATGATTCTACAATTCCCTGTGGAAAGAATTCTGGAAAAATTATCCATTAAATTCTCCTCCAAGGGATTAATTAGCAACAGAGATTCTGAAACACCGAAATCGAGAAGAGCCCTTTTCGCATCCAGTGCCTCAATTGAAGATGCTTTAAAAAATCAGGAATTCATAATCCAACTCCAACATCAACAGTTTGATGAGTCATTTTTTAGGTCTAAAAAAAATAATTCCCATGTGCAGTTAATGGTTTTATCTGGTTTTAGTTTGCTGTGATTTGCAGAGGATCTTTGTTCTTGTTATTTCTGTTTTGGATTTGCTGACATTTTTTAAGTGTCTGGAAAGCTAAGGAAAATTCTATCTTTTTTTTCAGGGTAACGTAGTTCGCGATAACAGAGGAGTTTTTAAAGTTGTATACTCTTGTCACAGCTCCTATTCAGAAATCAAAGGCATATTGGACTATCTGAATCCTAGAAAAGTTCACTTTATCACATCAACCCAATCTAAGGAATACAAGTATAATGATTCTGAATCGGATATTGAAGAAGAAAACTCTCCAGTGAGTGAAATTTAAAGTAATAATGCATTTAGTTATTTTCTGAATTCTTTGTGTTTAGAATTTCGGGCAGATACCTGATGAAATGCTTGCAATCTAATAATTAAAAATATTATCAGTTCTGTTTAGTGAGAGGTCAGAGTGAAGTAGGTTTAATATCATAGGAAATTCATTCATCACAAAATCGCCGCACTGAACATTTACAAATTAATTTTTTTTGTACCAATTACTTTTGATAGAAGACAAAAAGAAGTTGGAATGGAGCCTTAACATGCCATTTAACAAGGTCTGAACATGAAAAAAGGTCTTGTGTTTCCTCTTCAAAATCATACATAGCAAACCATTTGCACAACAAGAAGTTCGGAAAGCAACTCCTGAAGGAGATATTATCAAGTAGTTTGAAAACAAAAATGGCAGTCAGATGATATAAATGACGTCATTTGGGTTACATTTTGCAATATGGAACCCCTAATTCTGGCCCATTTTAGAAACAATATACATGCCATTGGTTTCCCTATGTAGATGTGTGCTTTTATGGGAGAGCCAGAGATAGTGGTTCCTTATTGCAAAATGCAATCCATTTATATTTTTGCGACTCAACCAATGTTAATTGTAAACTTTTATATCTCTTCTCGGGTTGATTTTCAGAGTTCTGGTAGTTTTATCTGTTTTTCTCTTTCAATTTTGAAAAGAAAACATTTTGCTTAGTTCTTTAATTCCTACCCTGTGAGGTAGCGAATTTTCAAGCTTGAATCAGTTTTATACGACCCCTTCAAGTCATGAGCACATTGTGTGGACTGTTTTGAAAACTTTGAATTAAGTTTGTCTGTAGAATCCTTCTTCCTGTCTGAGCAAGCCCAGTGAAAAAATCTCATAGCTCGTGTCTTAAATAAGGGCGCATAATCGTGTTCAGTAAGCTATCAAAACAGTTCCGTTTACAAGTATTGACAATGAAAACCACTCAGTGCAACCTCAGTGATTAGAGTTTTTAAAGCTGGCAAAAATGAGAGCGGCCTTATCAGAGTGCATCAGCATTTTGAAACAGGCAGTTGCAATGCTTACCGATTAGGATTCATTCAAACGCCCTTATTCTTTTGAAACTTTAAGCAGTTAACCACTCTTTTTTCTTATTATTCCCGACATTTATGTCTTAAGTGAACTGAAGCTTACGATTTTGTGTATTTTTCAGGATCTGGCACCGAAGAAGTTCAAAGGAAACTGTTCTGGGCCAACGAAGCTTCGATTATTTCAGCCTGTTGAGTGTGTAGATAACCTCTCCTCATGTTCTGAAAAAGAGGAGTCATCCAGTCAAGAATTATCTCAAAACTCTCTCTCCTAGCAGTAACTTTTTTTAAGTTAAGTAAAGTTAAGAGTTAAAAGTCACTAGTAAATTTATCAGTCATCCATTCAAAATCAGTTTTATGCCATAATGCTCATCTTGATTGATTTCAAACGTTCTACATTTTGCACTGCCATGCTAAGGGGAAACGCCGTATGAACATTTAGAAGTTGCCAAACGTCCTCCAATAAAATGTTTATTTTTGAGTAGAATGATAAAATCTCTTGAGATTTTCAGATAGGTTAAAGCTGATATCCTAGGACCGAGTACATCTATAATGGACACGACCCTCTCTCTCGAAAAAATTGAGTTAAGAATGTTTTCGAGTTCCACTAGTCGTTTATATTTTCCTGCCAAAAACTCAAAGTCGACAAAAAAAATCAGTCTGTGCTAAGGGGGGTTAAAGTTTATTTTGTACATTGAGCCTTATGGGGAAATAAAACTTCTAACCTCTTTTTCTCAGTTTCAACTTCATATGGGTTAGGACCTCCCTGTTAAACTTGGTCCGAATAAAGTGCTCTGATAAAGTCGAGGAAGAATATTCATATATTTTCCTGAGAATTCATACTTTATTGATGGTAATTTGACAACGTCTGAAGGCTTGTATGGCGTTTTTCCTCTATATGTGCAGGAATAATGGACAACACGACTAAGTATGAATGTAAGCAATATGATGCGTGTTTTCTTATCAAAATTTCACTTAGAACAGGATTTGTGCAACGAAAATTATTGAAAGTAACAAGCAATCATGATATTAACATTTTCCGATGTATGAATGTGGATTTCCTGTTTCCATAATATAAACCATAAAAACCATAAAACCATAAGAACCATAATATTCTCGAGTCAATTGCACACTAAAGGCTACCGTAACAGCCTCTGCAGTATGGAAGTATGGACAGGGAAGGAACATTATTCCACTATGAAGCCTGGCAAAACCCTCAAAGTATAGGATTTGATTCTCGTAAACTCTGGTTTTTCTTGTGAGCAGGAAATTCTAATTAATCTAGTTCAGTGCTAAATACATGAAAACGTTAATATCCTGATTAGGAGTTCATTTTGACAATTTTGGTCTGGAAAGTAGTGCATTTTGTGTGTTATTAATAGGCTATTTAAATGAACAGCATGTATGAAGGAGCATTGAAGGCAAGACATTCCATTTTAATAATTAATTTTTGTTGCGCAAATAGCATTCCTCAAGGAAATTTTGAAGAGGAAATATTTATCAGAATACATACTTAAATTCGCACCTTATCTAGTGGTCCATCGTGGGAAGTTGAGCTCTCATAACTCATTTAAGTTGACTAGAATATTGTAGTTACCTCCCATCTATTAATAAAAGTTAAAGCAAGTACACAATGATCAACCATCATTTTTAAACAAGCTCAGAAACACTTTACCAGTATTTAGGAAGTAGACCTAAGAAATGTGATTGTTGATCTATCTCAAGTATTAAATGATAAATCTATGAATTCCTTATATCGTATCGCAGAGTGAAAGGGATGACCTTATTTTACATAATATCAGAGGGTAAAACATTTTGAGGAATATTTTAGAGAGACAAAATGAACTATCATCACCGTTCTCTTAAAACCTTTTTAACTGAATCTAGTTTCTCATATTATCAATGTCATTTTATCAGTTCGTTTTCATGTCTTATTTTTGATATAAGTACCTCTCCAGTTTCATTTTAAATTGGAACATTTGATTTAAGCACTGTTCAAAGTGTGGTTTTACATGTTTAAACAGAGATGTATGAATGAATACCTAGTCGCTTTTATCTGTTGAATTGTTCTTAATTTACCAAAATTAACATATGAATTTTGTGTGCATGTTCTTTTTATGCAGCCAATATTTTGCTAGACCAAAGTTTCATAAATTTTTTTAAGCTGCCCACCTAATTTTTAATTTGGTTTTCCGATCCTTTCTAATTTTAGAATTGGGAATTTTTAGATGCATGTGTAACAATTTTCTTGCAGGTACCTGTAAAAAAAAAAATGCTCAAGAAAGATAATTGAATTGTCCAAAGTAGTGTAAGATAGTACCTATGAAATGTCTTAATTTGTTTTGATAGGTGAATTAAAGGTAAATTGTTAAACCCTAATGCTTTGTTTTTGTCATGTAGAAATGTGAAATGGACTATACTTTGCAGTAAAGAGCTACACACTATCTCTGCATCATCCCTGAGAGTATTTACAGCTTTCAGTGGTACGCACATTGTTTGTGAAATGAGCCAGAAATAGTAACTACTTATTGCAATGCATGCTATCATTGATAGCATGTCTTTACTTTTCTCGGATTGGAAGGAAAAAAAAATTATGAAGGCACCAAAATGTAATGAGAAAAAAACCTCTGCAAAAATCCGAGCACCAGCAGATATAACGGCAAAAAGGCTTGGATCTTTCTTCTTATCCCGACCAATTACATCTGCGGACGTTCATATTACATCTTTAACTTTCTCAAATCGAAAAAATTTTATGGATACCAAAATATCACGAGGATTAAACCAGGGAAACTGTTCAGTCATTCTCTAATACCAGTCACTCCTGAAAATAGCTTTCATGGACCCTTGTGAAGCCAAAGTTGCCAATAATTTTTATTTGTCTCTGTTTTCCTGTAGAAATGCATCTTTGCATGCATTTCTTGCATCTTTTCTCGTGCCCATGATGAGTTTTCTTCGAGAGTACTCTGTTAAAAATCTCGAAAAATACTGAAAATTTCAGTCATTATACGAGAATAATAATAATAATTAATATGCATCAATATGTTGAGTCTTTCAGGACCACTGCACTGGAGACCGCCTAACATAGTTTTTACGGTTCTTCTGAAGCAACCCCCCCCCCCCCCCCNGTTTCCAACATCGAGGGCCTTATTCTGTGTGTTGAAGTCTACTCTTCTAGTGGGAGCATCAGTGCATTTCTCAGTGCATTTCTCAGTGCATCTGAAATTAATTGAGGGGCTCGGAGGACAAGGACCATAAGTGCAATTTTGGCCATTTCCAGGAATATGCGCATTTGAAGTTACGAACTTGCATGGATCTTTATGGCAGAAAAAAAGTTCAAACTGACTGTTTGATGCTTAAAAATTGAAATTTGGAAACTGATTTTTCATTAAATATGTTTTACTAGTTTTACTTCAAATCATTAATACGTCAATTTTTTAAAAAACTGCATTTATGCGCCTTGGCCTCCAAGCCCCTCAATTGTCCTTTTTTTCTTCATAAATCCGATTCTTTATTTGCTTCACTATAATAATGGCAGATGTAGAACCTTTATGAATTTCTACGCATGTCATAATTATTTTTCACATTATATTACCTATCACTAAATTTACCCATGGCAACTTTCCTCAGCTCAGAATATATGCTTCAGCATGATTTGGAGGGTTGTTGAGATTATTTATTCAATTTTTAAAGATGAGCTTAAAATGATTTAACATCCACTGTTATTTTTCCAACTATTCCTCAGAAAGTCAGTAGGTAAAGGCTTTTCTAGTAAAGATGAAGCCTCCGCTTATACATTGTGAAACATACACGGGATAAAAGAGTAATAATATAATATTGAATCAATTCATAGTGGAAAAATGTAGTATAGCTTGTGAAAAAGGGGCAAACATGAAATTCAAGTTCAATCGAAAATATGATGCGCATAAGGCGAAAATATAATATGATGCGATAATATGATAAACAGCGCCTTAAAATCGGAAAGTTAGAATTTCAGCTACTTGTCATTTTTTTTTCGAATTTCGAAATCGCACTTCTGTTTTCATGAGACTATAAAATTCATGTAGGTACCAAATTTGACAAATTCAACGTAATAAAGGCAGGGTTTTTTCAGAGGAAAAATATCGCATTCTAGTACAGTTTCAATATCAGTATCGAATACGATATTTTTCCTTTAAAAAACCCTGCCTTTTTTACATTGAATCTCTTTGTCAAAATTTGGTAAATGAATTCTTTGGTCTCATGACAGCAGAGCTGCATTCTCAAAATTCGAAAAAAATGACAAGTAGCTGAAATTATGGAACGAAGTGATGCGATATCGTCACCTTCCAGGCAAAGTATCACAAGCGCCATGCGACGTTTAAAAATTTCCGCCGCCATTTTATTTCTTTACTAAGAAATTGTTGGTTGAATCTGTTTGGAAATTTCACTAAATTTTATCGGCAGCACAAAGAAAATTCAGTGAAATTTTCGGACAGCTTCGTTGAACAATTTCTCTGTAAAAAAATAATATGGCGGCGGAAATTTTTAAACGTCGCATGGCGCTTGTGATACTTTGCCTGGAATAGGTGACGATATATCGCACGTCGCTCTGACTCAAAAAATGGCAACCGTCGAATCACCATAATATTTTCGGGCAATGGAGAGAGAAAAGGGAGAAAAGGGTTCAAAAGCCCGTGCGTGAGGAAAATTGAGGTAATACTTCCCCTCTCTCCCTCCCGTACTCATGAGCGTTGCCATTCGCTTAGCGGCATCTCTCTCTCCCCCCTCCCTTGCTGCTGCGCTGCGCAGCGTCAGTTCCTGAAACTTCGAGGTTCTGTCTGTGTGCACTCTGTGCACGCGCAATTCGGCGCAATCTTCGTCTAGTCGCCGGACCACACACGTTTGCCGGTACCGAAGTTCGGAATATCTGTTCGGCTATTAAATCTCGGCTTGAATTTCTAGCACACCTTTCAATTTGAAGTATCGCGTACGAACTTTCAAAGTGCGTTTACCGAGTGTCCTTACTTCGTCGCGTTTCGTGGACTGAGCAATCGTATTGAATAGGTTGGCTTTGGCTTCGGTTTTCCTCCTTCCAACCAACGCGCGCGATTTCGCGACCGTGTGGATTTGATTTGTGTTCTTTTGAGAGTTCGCCTGTATTCTCTCGCTGTTAAATGAACTTAAAGTGCGTATAATCTCGCCGTTGCGTAAACGATTCGTCCGTGAAAATTATATCGTGATTCGTTCGAATGTTGTCGGACTTCAATCGCGATGGAATTCTGTGTTAGTTTTGGTGCTCATCACGTCTGAAAACTTGGCCTTTCAACTTTAAGACGATTTGGTTTGGTGGTTCTGGGATCGAGGTTTGAGATACCTTTTTAAATATTTATTTCTGATTTAAATTCTGCCCATCTGTTGAAAATTGATTACTCACATGTCTCAACGAATATTTAATTTCAGGATTGAACCATGCCTTGTTTCTGCCTCCTCCTTGGTTTTCTTTTTTCCCCTTCTTTTCCCCCTGTAGTTTCTATAAGTAATTGAAAATTCTGGTACCTATCGCAGCCGTCAAATTTTGTCAAATAGCTGCTAAAGCAGTCGCCATGTAGCAGGTACTCGCTGATCCGTATCTTCTTGTTACTTATCCAGGATCATATAGGTATCATTTTTGCAGTGAGGGAAAGCTCATTATAAATATTTGAGCAAAATACATTGATCAGTGTCTCGAGTCGGATGTTCTGCAGAGATTATCTTCTAGAGAGATCTTTCTACAGGTATATTTTTTCTACGAGCCTCACGTTTCAGGAGAGATTTTTTGTAAGGATAAGTTCGCAAGAAAATTTACAGGTTTTCTTTTCATACCAGCAGATGTCATGGATAATTTCGAAAGCGCCGCAAAAAATGGTGCTTTTTTTCTTCCTTAATTTCCCTTGTCGAATGTGTTCGTCGTTTCCAAAAACCAATACTCTGTGAAAATTATTTCAAATTATGTCTTCTCATATAACCATCCCGCTGATTCGAAATCGCTAGGAAATGCCATCAAAATTTGTCGAGGAATTTTCAGAAAATTACGTTTTTCTCTAGGTACGCAATTCTGTGGCACTTTGTTCATGAAAAATTTCTAGAAAGCACGTAGGTATTTCGGTCAGTTTTCTCCCAGTGAGAATAAACCTTCATCGTAGATTTTTAAACATCCCAAATGGTAAAAGCCATGCATTTTCGGCTGCAGTAGTTGAAACTACAGCAGAATTTCTGAAACCTTGTTTAAGATCCAGACCAATTAGATCAGAGTAATAGTGAGGAAAGAGAGAGAGAGAGCAGAGAGCCGATGTAAGATTAGGGAAGTTTCCCGCCTAATTCGAGTTGAATGAAAGGCTCATGAGTAGGATCGAAGTTCTTCGAGTGTTTTGACAATTTGAGCACGTGTGAGTGTGAGTGAGGGAAACGAGGTGGCGACGACAGGGCGGGCGGGCGCAATCCTTTGCGTTTCGCTCACGTAACTGAACGCACCGGACCGGATGTCTGTGTCTGGCTGCGGTGGTCTAGCAGGTAGATAAGCCCCCTTCTTCTCGGGATCCTAGCTCGCCCCGACGATTTCAGCAGATTTCACCGGCCGAATTTGTTCACTCCATTCTCTCGACAACTTGTCTTTGCCCTTTGTCAATCTGCCGAATTACGTCCTTGTTAATCAAATTCGTACTTCCTCCACCTCAATCTCCAAACGTTTTCCAGGAAAGTGCCGGCGAAATATTCACAACTCTCCCAGTCTTTCTCCCCCTTCGTCCGTCACCACTTCTTCCATTCTGCTGCCGTGCCAAGGAAAAACACTGTATGAGCATCCGGATGTTGCCAACTTGCCCTTCCAAGGCTGTCCATAAAATTACGTCACCCATCATTTTAAATTTTTCGACTCCCTTCCCCCTAAAAATTACATCATCCTTAGCGCCCCCCTCTTTGAGGGGAAATGCAGTAAGTCGATAAAAACAGTGGATAAAGTCTGCAGAATTAAGAACATAATTAATTTATTTTATAGTGGATCAATTATGCGATGTGGTCTTGAAGAAAGAAAAAAATCAAGGCCGCAATATGTTTCTAGCTGGAAAATTAAACAGCGCAATTTTCACAGTTTTGAGAAAAATTGGAATTACTTGTTGAAAAATCGCTAAAATTGATTAAGAATATAATACGAGGAACCAATTTTTAATTTCAGGGAAGCTCACGTCTTGACCCCTCCCCCCC